TATAATATATGTATAGAACCAGAAGGAAAGAACCAACAACAACTAGGTTGAGATTATTATACCTTGCAATCCTTCCAAACTATTTTGAGTTTACTATACTGCAGCTCTAAACCAACTAGGTTTGGTTGCATAGGAAAGTCATCTGGTATGGACTCTAAAGGGAATCCCTTCCAGCTCAACCACATTAACTTTTTGGGAAAATCTTTGTACTCTCCAGTGAGCTCTACGTTGCTGAGGTGGAGTAACCTCATTTTTTTCATGTTGGTAAATGCTTGTGCATTGAATCTTGTCTCGTAAGAGCAATGTAGAACAACTCCTTCAATTTTTTTAGTTCCCTGTTAACAAAAGATACCGAGTTAGAAAAATGATTTACAAACATGAAAATCCGTGTATGTATTAACCAAAAGGTATAATTAATAGTATTGGACCATGTTACGCCCTATAGTTTGTGTTTGCAATCAAAGCACATATTTTTTGTTGGTTATGCCTAATTGAGCTTTGATCTTAATGCATATATAAGAAATGGCAATGGACATTTTAATTTATTATAGACACGGGATACATATGCTTCTCTTGCATGATGCATTCTAAAACTTTACTGGAAAAGTACTTACAGATTCATTGCACAATACACCTGTTACGTCTTCATGTTTCCACAATCTACTAAATTTTTTATGCTCACCATTGGCTTTTTCATGAACGATCTCTCTTCCCATGTCTCGAAGCAAATCATGCATCATCAGCTCGTTTTGCTCACTAACAGTTACAAGGCACCGTTCCCTGAGGACACTGATTCCTATCCTTGCAAAAAAGCCACATCCATCTAATATTTGTGTGACATAGTCCCTGTCCATTCCAATAAAGAAACAAGATATATCAAGGAATATCTTTCTCGTTGTATGATCAGGTAGCCCGTCAAAGCTTACTCTGAGTATTTTTTGAATATCTCCATCAGGGCTTCTTTGCAATTTCTCCAATTGGCTTTCCCATTCTAATGCGGTTCTTTTAATCAAAAAAGACCCTACAACTCGAAGTGCTAGTGGCAAGCCTTGACAGTAACGAATTACACGTTTTGAGAGGTCAAGGTATTCTTGATCAGGATAACCTCTTTTGAAGGCATGCCAACTAAAGAGCTCTAGAGCTTCTTCCTCATTCATTTCTTCAGCCATATATGTGCTATCCACTTCAACTTGGTGTAGCAAATGTTGATTTCTTGTTGTTATAACAATTCTACTTCCAGGGCCAAACCAATCACGAGCTCCAGCTATTGCTTCTAGTTGGTGTAGATCATCTGCATCGTCAATTATGACAAGTGCTCTTTTACAGCAAAGTCTTTCTCTTATCATCTCGATTCCTTTAGGAACAGAGTCAACCTTTTTGGGGCCCTTGCTTTTTAAGATATCATTTAGAAGTTGTTTTTGTAAACCAACCAGACCGTTAATGGGTTGGTGTGCAATTACTTCCCTCACGTTTGCAAGGAAACTCCTACCTTTAAAGCTACCTTCAAATTCGTTATAAATGGCTTTGGCAAGCGTTGTTTTCCCAATGCCGCCCATCCCCAAAATACCGATCATGCGAACATCATCCTTAGAACCTGAATTTTCAATATCTAAGTGATTACTCAAATCCTTCACCCGAGAAGTAATTCCAACAGGGTGTTTGATGTCTAATTGGTATTTGCTCTTCAACTGCTTATTAACCACCCCAAGAATTTTGTTGATAAACTTTGCTTCATGCCTGGCAATTAAACAAAGAAGCAGAACTACGAATCATTCGATGTGGAACAAACTTAATAATTTAGAATTAAGATATAATTAACAATTAAGATTGGGATTCAACATCAAATGTTAAATGGATCTCACATTATCAAGTAAGAAAGAATGCTTAGTTAAAACCAAACCAAACCAAACCAAACCAAACAAACAAACACACACCAAAGTTCAAAGTCAAAAAGAAAACATAGTTGGAAAAACAAAAACAAAAACAAAAAGGGCAGAAAGCATATGGTTGTCAAGTAAGGAGATGATAATCCAAGGAACAAGAAATTAGTAATTACCCATTGTCAGCATTTTTAAGATCTTCCCCACACAAATCTGCTGCTTGACTGAGAGCATTTCTCCATCGCTGTACCTTTTCTTTCTCATGTTTGCCCGCTTCATGTTTCTCAAATGCTTGTGCAAAACTACCAGTTTGTTTCCGGACATCTGAAGCCTCAACATTATAGAACAATGGAATAACCTGTTGCCCCAATCTTTCTCTACACTCCATGATCTTCACCAGCTCATTAAGACACCAACTGGACTCGGCATACCTCTTGGAAAAGACAATTATGGAGATCATGGACCCGTCGATTGCCTGCTCCAGTTGGGGTTTTATAAATTCCGCTTTTTCTAGCTGGTTGTCGTCAAGAAAGGCGCTGATTCCGGCATCAGAAAATGCTGCGTGGAGGTGGCCTGCGAAGCCCTTGCGTGTGTCTTCACCTCTGAAGCTCAAGAACACTTGGTACTTCCAACGTTTTGACGAGGAAGATGGTGAGGATGAAGAGGAGGCTTTATGGGCTTTCCTGGCATCCATTAATTGATACTGGTTCAGATCAGACCAACTACAAATTATGCACAAGTTGGCCTTCCGATCCGACTTGAGCAGAAGAAGTTATTTCATAATCAATTATTTTTTCTGGGAAGTGGTTTGTGTGTTGCAGCGCAGATGAATAAATTCGAAATACGCATAGTCAAGGTCCTCAAACGTTTCAGTCGACAAAAGCAAAAGTTCCCATGTGGGGAGAACAGTGAAACTATAATATCTTTTTGGCTGCGCGATCTACTGGACGGCTAAGATTGAAGGTCAGGAAAATGCAAGGAAGCTTAGGGGAAAGAGGCATGAAAAGAGAGGGAAGAGACGAGCGTAATGTCCAATTTAAAAAGAAAAAGAAAAAAGAAGAAGAAAAACACAAGTCTTGTTTCAGTTTGATTTCATTTCACAAAATCCCTTTTCATTGATTATTTGTGTTGAGGCCCAAAATGTTACGAGAAGCCCAAAGGTGTCTTAAGCCCAATATAACATACAATAATTGCTTCATGCTAACCCAAATTGTATTTTGGGAATTAATTCATTAATTAAATATACAAATAATGTACATGTCATGCCAAACAAATAATACATTTTCTTATGCTAAACCACCCGACAAGCTTAAGTGGGCCCAAGCCACATATATGCCTAGGGCTTGCTGAGCGGGTTGTGGTGTGGATGGTTACAAGGATCCATGAGGCTCATTAAAGGTTCAAAAGAATGGAGGTTTTGGGCTGCTTGGGAGCCCCAAAACCCAAGCCCATTTTCTTGAGCCCATTGAATGGGTAAGCAGAGAGAACACAGCCAACCTTCCAGCATTAAAGCCAAAGCTATCACGCGTTTTCCTCGAGCACTTAACCTACCAGCATTAAAGCCCATCTCTCACCGTCTCAACAATCCCTATTAAAAGCCTTAGACCAACGGCTGCTCCTCCAACGCCTATAAAAGGAGGCCTTAACCAAGAAACCAGGGGGGCCGGCATGAGCAAGGAAAGCTACCAAACCAAGCAGAGGCAAGCTTATCCTCCACTTTCCAGAAAACCCATTGCTGTAAACACACAAAGCCCAAGCCTTCCTCCATCATACTTATCTTCTTTTATAAACCACTCCAAGCTATAAACATCCTCCAAAAACTATCTCAAGCCATCCCAAAACCAACCAACATAGAACAAGCACCGCTGGAAAACACTCAAGCTTAACCCGGAAACTATCATCTTCTTCTCCCAGCAACTAGAAACCATTTCAAGCCCTAAAATGTCTTTTATCCAGCATCCCATTTCAACTCAAGCAAACGCTCTCTCTTGCTAAACTCATGGAGACTTAGCTCCCACACCACAAGCCTCTCATGCCAAGCTCTTCCATTTTAATTCATCGAAACATGCTCTCATGCTAAGCTTGTATATTCTCTGTACAACATGAACTCTTTCCGGAGCCATCTCACACCATTCCATCAGCTGCCGTATGTTTTCCAACAACTGCTGTATGTCACTGCCAGGAATTCCATCTTCTTCAAACATCTCCTCCAGCACTACTCCACTTCAAGAGAAGCACTTCCAATACAACAAAATCGAGCAAAATCATTCAAGAACCTGTTATACATCAAAACCTGCAAGGAGCCACTGAAGATGACCATAATATTCCCTAAGAATCAGCATTCTTTCGGGATATCTTGGGGCCTAGTCCTCGAACCCAGGCAAAGGGGCAATGTCACTCTCTCTTTACAGCGGCCCAAGTCCACCTAGAGCTGTTGTAACAAAAAGACCCCCACAATTTGTACAAAAATTTATGATTTTATTTATATATAAAAAAAAACCTTATGCAAATGACAAAATTAACCTCAATGAAATATATGCAACCTAATCTCAAATGCCAACTTTGTTATTTGAAGAATTTTTTAATATAAAATAATCAATCTTTGAATGAAAAATCAATTAAAATGAGTTTTGTGAAAACAATTTAAAACCTCAATGGGTGTTCTTGTAATTTCTAAAACCTCAAGGAGTTTTATGAAAAAGCTAAAAACTTCAAGAGGTGTTAGTGTAAATAACCCAAAATGGATACATACACAAGAGCCCAAAGGCCCTACAAACATAACCCATACACAAACCCACTACAGGACTCATACAGATTACACTGGGATACTTTGAAATTGTCTGCTATGGTACCACCCCAAGACATCACCCAAAACAGCATCCAAGGACATAATCCTGGTACAAAGCCAGCACGCCAAGAGATAACCGGGACTGGCACTAGACCAGCACGCATGGGTAGATCACGAACCTCTCCCAAAGGGAGCACCAACAACCTCCGCAACAAAAGACATTAATTGTTGCCAATTATTAGAGCAAGTCCAGCTAGGCAGTTGCCATGGCAACAGGCCCCCCCTCCCAGCAAGGTTTGGACTTCCAGAGCACAAAAGACAGCCCGGGCAAGGCATGGGACCCACCAGCTTGGGCTCAAGCCCGAAGGCGCTGATGTCACGCTGACGTCAGTGAGCGAAAAAAATTCAAAAAAAATCCACAATATTTTCAATATTTTTTAAAAAAAAAAATACCAAAAAATTATGGATGTTTTCATATAAATACATAACAATTTTATTCACTTTCCACACCAAATCCTCATACAAACTCTTCTCCTTCCAATATTTGTAAATTGTAATCTTTTTTTTTTTCTTGCATTTGTAAATCTTTTATATTTTCTTCCATATTTATTTTTTTCTTGCATAATCATTTTATTTCTTACATTTCTAAATTATTTATATTTTGTTGCATAATCTTTTTTTTTTCTTGCCCTTGCCCTAGCCTTTTGGGGTGGAACCAAAAAAGGTAAGGCTGCCACTATTCACGTGAATAGTGGCAGCCCTTGCCTTGACTTTGCCTTGCCTTAGCCTTTTGGGGTGGACTTGCTCTTATAACCTCACCCGAAGTGAGCACCCAAGGCAACCTCCGAAGAGTTGCAACCCTTATTTTAAACACAAAATAGAAAACCAAAAGACCCTAACACCACCATCACATAGATCCACCTAGATCTGAAGTAGATTCACCACAGCAGCCCAGATCTAAAGTAGATTCACCACAGCAGCTAGAACCTGCAAAGATCACGACTTATGACCAACGAACAACGAATCTGTCCAGGTCCAAAACACAACAGTCGGTACAGGGAGAGAGGGGTAGAAGAAAGGGAAGTTGAGGAGAATCAGAGGGGGATGAGAGAGAGAGAGAGAGAGAGAGAGAGAGAGAGAGGAGAGCAGCGTAGGAAAGGGTAGAGGGGGAAGATAGGAAAGGAGGAGGGAGAGGAGACCAACTAATATATGCCATGTCTATTGCGTCTATATTGCTTATCTATTGCGTGCATAGCGTACATTTATTGCATGTGTATTGATTGTTTATTGCTTACGAAGGAAATAAACAACAATACACAGGCAACAGACAAGCAATATACACGCAATAGACATGCAATCTATACGCAATAGACATGCAATATACATCAGTCCCTAATTTCACCATCCATAAGGGAGTCGTATCGAATAGGAAATTCTACTTAACAGTTTGTTTGTGCCTAATAAATCACGGCCATGAACTGACCGAAGGATCCCCTTTTTCTCGACCCCAGCACCTGCTCGTGGAACTGAAACGCAGCGTTTTGTCAAGATGTCTGGCCTTCCTAAAACAAAGGAAAAGTTGCGAATGCATGATCATCTCGGCCTCGATTATAGGCTGAGGCCAAGGCCGAACAAAATCACGGCCAAAGGTGTTAAAGTTAGATCATCAAGTGGCAGCAGGGTCCCACGCTTCATTTAATGAAGTAATGCCTCTGTTTATTGCAGCAAACCCACTGGCCACGAATAAGCATTTAATGCTCGAGGGAAGGTGGGAAGTGACTGAAGTCAGGATTTGGTGACAGGGATCAAAGTGATTAGACGCAAACATTCTCACAAGAATTCTTGCAGCTTGAGAGATTAGGTCACCAGCTATCAGAGCAATAAATGCGTCCCCACGGCCAGAGGCGCAGAACCCACGATCAGGGCGGCGGCCGAGATTTGCCAGGATTCACGGGGTCACACCACCATGCTTCACGATCCCAAATATCGATTGGACTACCCACTTGCTCTAATCAGGCTCCACCATGCAGATTTTCAGCCTCGATTACTCCTCCAAGGACTCTTCCTATAAATACAAGACTCAAGCTACATTCAAAGGGTTCAAACACCAAACCAAAAGCCTTCCACGGAGCAAATTATATTTTCATGTAATGCACTTTCAATATCTTTACATGCTTTCTTAGGAGTAGTGATAAATTATAAGGAAAATCTATTCATCAATATATCATACGACCCTTGATATTCTCGAGGCGCCGGAGCACCACCTCTGTTATCGTCTCATTCACCCCATATATCATACGACCGTCGCTCTCTGAGCAACGCGCCGGAGCACCGCCCAAAATCCACCACCTACACCACCGCTAAACGGCCTTGTAGCTCATGCCGTGAACCTGACGGCCGAGATCAGTTCCTCTCTCGGCCACAATCGTTTGATTAGAAGTCGAACTCAAACCAGGCGCATCACTTGACCACTTTTACCCAAACCTCATCACCATCTCGACGCACGGTAGACCGTGCTGGCACGCCCGCGCACAACCGCACCGCACTCAAAAGAAGGAAGTCACGTGTTAACGCACATCCCCTCGGCCCGGATCACTAGGCCGTGAGATTTGCGCAGCCAACACAGTTGTTCTTCCTACTAATAAACAATCAATAAACCTTCAATAAACATTCAATATCGGACAATAACATGCGAAATACATGCAGTAAACAATCAATAAACCTTCAATAAACATTCAATATCGGACAATAACATGCGAAATACATGCAGTAAACAATCAATAAACCTTCAATAAACATCCAATATCCGAGCAATAACATGCGATACACATGCAGTAAACAATCAATAAACCTTCAATAAACATTCAATATTCGAGCAATAACATGCGATACATATGCAGTAAACAATCAATAAACCTTCAATAAACATCCAATATCCGAGCAATAACATGCGATATACATACAGTA